TATCTATCTATCTATCTATCTATCTATCTATCTATCTATCTATCTATCGGCATTAAACGAAATGCAATTATACATGTTGAAAATAAGGGGCTGGTTGTGAACAAAATAGGAAGTTGTGTTGGCTGCCTAATTTTATCATTTTCAAGTGCGGGTTCATATGATTGATTGCTGATATTTTACCAGTTAGTTCCCTGTATCATAGAAAACTAGAATGGCATGGAAAGGCTACTGTAGTTTTGCAGTAATAACTTACGATTTTTAGGTCATATTATTAAGTGGGTATTAAGTGATCATGCTTGCCTCACTGAGAATTAGGTCAAAACATAGAACAGACCAGTGCTAAGGAAGGAAGAGAGAGGGAGGGAGAGAGAGAACTGATAAAACTTTATCATAAACCAGTTCCAAGAATTAAAAAAAAAATCCTGATCCATATTGCCCTGGATGAAAGGTGAAATGCAAAATTATTGTGGATGATTTTTGAATCCTTTATAAATGCAGCTAACTACCTATATAAACAAATACAATAAAATATAATTACTTATCTATATGGTGTTAGGTTATAGTTTTGTCGGGGAAGATGTCCCTTTCCTTATCCATCCTTAGATAATTGCATTTTTTTTCCTACCAGTTAATTTGTTAGAACTCACTGCTGCTTCCGATGATGAATCAAATGAAAACCCTAAATTGGAAGATATTCAAGAGATTTTGGGAGAGGCATATCATGTCAATCCTGAGACACGCACTATTCTCTTCGTGAAGACAAGAGCGCTGCTGGCAGTAAGAAACTCTTCCAATATGGAGGAAGCGGGATTTCCCTCCGTTTTCTGCTATGTGTGGCTTAGCATTTAAGATCAGTTTACCTGTGTTTTGAGGTGGGGAGGGAATTTCCTCTGGAATGGGACCACAATGCACTCTTCTAACTAGCTGGTGAGCCGCTGAAGGCTTTCTGCTCAGCTGGTAGCATCATAAGAATGGATAGGGTCAATTTTGGCATCACTTTCCTCTTGTTTGTGTTGTTACGGTGTTGGTGATGAAAAAGAAATTACAGATAAGTCCTCAGGACAGAAAATGGGAGTGGAAAATTAAGGAATGTGCTTATTATTATTATTATTAAAATGTAACACTATAAAGATATTTCCAAAGGTTCTGTGATGATGTACAAAGGGCTACACATACAATCATGCCAGCCAAATTAAACTTGGATCCCTATGATCACAAATGAATTTTACAGGCATTGAAGAACTGGATAGAAGAAACGCCTGAACTTCAGTTCTTGAAGCCACAGACGCTGATGGGACGTGGGAAAAGAAACCATTGCACAGGTGAGGCAACTTGGATGGACTGTATAGGCTAGGGATGGATGGTGTACAGGTAGTCCTCAATGTATGGCAGGGGTGACAAACTCAAGGCCTGGGGGCTAGATCCGGTCCGTGGGGTGCTTAGATCCAGCCCGCAGGTCTGCCCTGGAAACAGCAAAGGACTGGCCCGCGATGCCTCTGCCAGTGAAAATGGCAGAGCTCCATTTTTAGCTTTGCTGGTCCCCTACAACCCTCTGTCAGCAAAAATAGAGCTGGGAGGGCCGCCGAACTTAATTAAGAACTTGAAACCTCTGTGTTGCATTTTATGAAGTAGAGTTTCTTACCAAAGTTAAAGTCAGGGGTCCAAGTAATACACCCGTAGCAGACAAACCTCTGAGGCAAGCAGTTCCTCAAATAATAGTTTTATTGGAGATATCATATTGGCACAGTTCTGGTGAAAACCGACTCTGAAGGTTCCTGTGGTTTTTATCTAATTAAAAGTAAAAAAAAAAATCCCCTTCCCCAAACAATCAGTCACATGGTCCAATCAAGGCGCTGTCTGGTTGCCTGGTGACATCACTCCGCCTTCCTCGGACCAGGTGTGAGAATGCCCTTGGTTCCCAAGAGAAAGTATTTTGTTTTGGCTACAAAACTCCAGCTATCTCTATTCCCCCCCCCCCCCCCACACCCTTCCCTCAGCTCCCATGTAGCTACACTGAAAGCCTCAAAATGGCTGTGGTCAGGTCAGCTTCAGGGTTGACACCTGGGTGCTTTTATCACTCTGTACTTTTTCTTGCGCACCCTCTGCAGACCTGGGATAAGGGCAATATTTGTAGGATTGATACTCTGGTTTCTCCTTTATCACCTCTCTCTTAGGCATGACCCTCCCAAATCAAAAAGGGACTTTAGATGCCTTCAAAATCAATGGGGACAGCAAGCTGCTAATAGCAACTTCAGTGGCTGACGAAGGGATCGATATTGTTCAGTGCAACCTGGTCCTACTATATGAATACACAGGCAACATCATCAAAATGATACAAGTCAGAGGTAGGTTGGTGAAACGGATGTTTTAATTACAGGCAGTCCTCGACTTACGACCACAATTGAGTCCAACATTTCTGTTGCTAAGGGAGGCATTTGTTACGTGAGTTTTGCCCCATTTTACGACCTTTCTGATCACAGTTGCTAAGTGAATCACTGAAGGTGTTAAGTTAGTAACCGGGTGGTTAAGTAAATCTGGCTTCCCCATTGGCTTTGTTGATCACAAGGTTGCAAAAAGTGATCACCTGACACCTTGCAACCGTCATAAATATGAACCAGACTGCCCAGCTTTTGAATTTTGATCATATGACCATGAGGATGTTGCAAAAATTGTAACTGTGAAAAACAGTTGTAAGTCACTTTATTCAGTGCCATTGTAACCTTGAAGGGTCACTAAATGAACTGTTTTAAGTCGGGGATTACCTGTATGTTAACTGAAGGTCATGCATATCCACCTTAGGATGAAATGCTATCGGATACATAGCAAACAATACTTTATTTGGGCCTATTATGCAAACACAAAAGTGCTTTTTGATATTGGAGGCATTATGTAATGCTCGGAACCAATTGTTGGACTTTTCCAATCCAATTCCACATAGTCCTCAATTTATGGCCAAAAGTGGGAGCGGCCTCTTCATCATTAAGCAATGCCATAAAGCAAAAAATCATGACTCTGCTATAACTTTCAGCAGCAGTTTGGGCAATTCTGGTTTCTGTCATTAAGTGTGATGTCATCTGATTATGATTTGTGGTTTGTGATTATGATTTGTAGTTTGTGATTATGATTTGTGGTGCGAAGCCAGCTTGCCCTCGGCTGGCACATCTTAGGAAGCACGTGAGCGTCTTCTAAAATAAGGCTGGTACATTGGCAGCCAAACTATTAGTCTGCAATAGCATTGTGGTCTCCTGGCCAATGTAACAAACAGCATACATTGTTAATAAGAATAATAATACTGTGATTTGTGATTTCTTGCCAGCTTCCCCATTGACTTTGCTTGTTGAAAGTTGGCAGCAAAGGTTGCAAATGGTGATCATATGACCGGAGGACGTTGGTTGCCAAGTGCCCAAGTCACAATTGCATAACTGTTGAGATGCTGCAACTTTGAGGACCCATTGTAAATCTCCTGTTTTAGCGTTGTTGTAACTTTGAAAGTCACTGAATGTGTATTTGCTAACCAAGTACTTAACCCAGGGGTGGGCAAACTTTTTGGCTCGGGGGCCTCATTGACTTTTAAAATTTGACAGACGGGCCGCTACCTGGTGTCGAAATGCCTGTCCTTACAAGTCAAAATCAAATGAATGCAATCATTCAATCATTCACATCAAACCTTAATTCTGTACCAATCTTCGGCGGGCCGGATTAAAAAGACCAACAGGCTGGATGTGGCCCTCGGGCCATAGTTTGCCCACCCCTGACTTAACCTGTATTGCTTGTCTGGGGGCCATCATTAAAAAATTACCTGGGTAATATTCAGTCAGTGTTCAGGTCTAGGCCTGGAACCGTTAACAGTTTTGGCCAATTTGGCTTGATAACTTTCATAAGGATTTGCAGTGAGTGAGTAAGTGTGCACCTTTTGTTCCTTTTAAATCTTTTCAGCAATTTTCAGTGACATCAACCACAGTGTCTTTCTGTACTTCCTATAAGAGTTTCTGTTTTAAATAGCTCAGTTCTTTTATGAGTGGATGTGCTGTAGGGGTTTGCCTTCTCTCTATCCCATCTCCCACTTTTCAATAGCGTCATGAAGTGAATAACACTCAAGTGTATATATCTCCATCCTGGGCTGGGCTAAACTTGCTATAAAGGTCAATGGGTTCAGTGGGAAGAATTAAATTGAATCACATTTAAGATAGAAGTCTAAAAGCCAATTGGCCCTTAACTGCTTTGGTTGTAATTCTGGATAGCATAGCAATTCATCTCGTAGAGCAAATCTGTAACCTGAGAATCTTCCTAGATTTTGTAGTCATTGGTAAATAGACAGAGGCCATGACTAGATGAGTCTCTTGTAATGTCCATTATGGCTTCACTCGAAGGAGGCCTTGGCAACAATTATCCATCACTTTATCATGGAGAGGAAGGGATTGTAAGAGAGTAATTTGGCACACAAAGAGGAACACACTGGACTGTTCGTTAAGCGTGCTTGTGGTTGCTAGAGCCGGCACCTTTCTCTCAATGTGTATTCCCCATTATGCTAACTCTTACAATTCTGCCTCTTCAATTAATGTTAAGTACAAATACTAGTTCTCTTCTTGGTAATTATCCCAGACTGAGGTGAGCATTGAAAAGGGCAGGGGAGTGGGGAAAAGGGAAAGCTGAAGTAAAATGGTTGTGAGGCAAATAAAACATAAAGATGTGAAATTGAACAAGTCTTTGCAGTTTCAAGCCAGAAAGCACAATCTTGGTCATGCAATTTCTCACCTCATGACTTCCCTCAGCGATGGAAGTGCTAGTCTCTATTGTGGTCACTAAAAAAAAAAAAAAAAAAACTACCTGTAATGTGCCATCTCCAGGTCGTGGAAGAGCAAAAGACAGCAAGTGCATTCTTGTGACGAGCAAAAAAGAAGAGGAAGAGAAGGAGAGGTACAATTTACAAAAAGAGAAAATGATGAACAAAGCTATTGAAGAGGTACAGAGCTGGGATGAAAAGACGTTTGCAAAGAAGGTGAGCAGTTTTACAGTGAGGGTTTCCTTCATGTCCCATTCAGCAAAGGGGGGGAAATTCTGTACTTTTTGAGCCAACACTGTTCAAACACAGAATGGCTGAACCTGCAGTTTTCTAACTTTGCTTACAAGGTTTGGTTGTCGTTTATTTATTTTCAGGATGGTTGCGGGTGGGGTGGGAGGTGGGGAAGGTTGATTCAGGACAACATTCCTGGCCCCTTGAGAGCAGTTGGTGCCTTGTGACCTGAATTCCATCGTTCTCTCTTCACCTCAGATAAACAAGTTGCAAAAGCAGCAAATAAAAATGCTAAATTCCAAGAAAAAACCAACAGAACCCAAACCCTGGAAAGACAATCTAGTCCTTTTGTGTGGGAAATGCAAAACCCAGGCCTGCAACACGGAAGACCTCCGGGTGATTGAGGTAACCTGCTGCCTTCGCTTCACAGTGCCTTTTTTGGCCGGATAAGTGTTGGAGGGTACAGATCAGCCGTGTTTCCGTTCACTTCTGAATGAGGCCTGATTCAGTCCAAGTCTGTGATTTGAATTTCAAGATTTGAATCGATAAAAGCTTTATCCATAGCCAGTGGTGGGATGCAACCGGTTTAACAACTGGTTTGGTGAGCGCGTGCGCAGCATTAAGAAAACCACCCATTTTAAGCTTAAAAACTTACCTTCTATGTCAGTGCTGGTGAGTAAAACAGCTGAGGCATGGGAATCTGCTGTGCCACGGGAATCAGCTGAGGTAAAATACAGCGAAATATAGGACAGGAAAGGGCAGGTGAATGAGGCCAACTGCTCACTGGAACTACCAGTTTGCTAAAACCGGTGCAAACCGGTTAGAATGCCACCACTGTCCATAGCCTATAAAGCAGGAAAAATATATGTCTGCATCTGCTTAATCTTTTGGCAGAACAAAATGAAGATCACAATGATAGAGGCTTTAGAGAAGTGTTACTTAAAACATTTCTCTCTGGATTCCTTCCTGTTTTAAATTTTTTTGGAGCACTCTTCCCCCCCCCCAAACCCCTCTTTTTGTTTGTATGGGTTATATTTATTAAAATTAATCATATTGAAAATTAAAATTGTCCCATTTGCTGCCATTTCCGTTCCTCACACTTCCTTGATGGGATTTTAATATTACATTATTTTTCAACAGGCTGGCAAATAATTTTGATTTTGCAGATTCCTGAGTAGTTCTTCAGGGCTCTTCAGACCATACTTAAAAAAATGCAGCTTCAGAGGACATTGATGCAAAGTTTCAGCTGGAAAGTGTTAAGGCTTTCATTGCTTTATGCAGTATTTTTAATTGTTTCTCTGCCCTTTATAATAGAGGTGTCAGGACTAGGGTGCAGGAAACACAGCAAATAAAAGGTATTGATTTGATTTTTAAACTTCAAGTATTTACCCAAGGATTAAATTTAAAAAAGGTTATTAAATCAAATCTTTCAGTTGAAGAATTCCTTTAAAGTTTGGTTATATTTACACTAAAAGGAGTGAAAAAAAACAAACATTTACCTTGACTTGTCAAATTGTAAGGGTAAATCTTAGTACTTTGTACTTCTGGTCATTGTAAGAACATTTTAAGATGCCCAGCCTTTGGGTTACACATATACAGTAAGTAGGTGGAGTGTCACCTTTTGGTAAATGGAACTCTAGCATTCTAGTCCCTTTGAAGTGGTCAGATTGATCAAGGGTAATTGTTCCTACATTATATGTATGTATGTATGTATTATACACACACACATACATATATGCATTTTTCAATTAGACTGTGAATGCACAATAGAGATTTCAAAATATATTTTGAAGTCTTCTGCCATTCCATCAAAAAAGTAGCCAGTCTCTCCCCCCCCCCCCCCAAAAAAAAACCCCTCCCCAAATTTTAAATGTTTCATACATTCATTCCACATCTTGTGGCTTTCATGGTGTAGGCCAGGGGTGTCCAACCTTGGTGTAGGCAGTAAACAGGAAAGATCATCAAAGGCTTGATTTTAAGGTCTCAAAAGCCATGTGATCTCCATGCAAACTCATAACCAACAAATTGCACAAATCCCAAAGACCAGAAACAAAAGCGCTTGTGGACACGATCCAACTGAGATAAATTGCATTGCAGATTTCTGGAAAATCTCATCCTTCTCCCAAACTATTTTGGTGAGCAGGGCAACAAACTATATGGGCTAAGGGTAAACTCTTTTTTTAAAAATACTTTATTTTAAAAAGCAAACTAAATGGGCTCAAAGGAGTCATGCACAGATTTTTTTTTTCCTGTGTCAATTTCACATAAAGACGCATTTCTGAATTCCTACTACAAGGTGAAGCTTGGAATTTATCCAGTCCTAAACAAAACCTGAGCTAGTTGAATGCATTCATCATGAGAAAACCCTTCTTTACATTCAGTTGAAAGAAACTTGGCTTTGCCATATCAGAATTAAATGTTGGAAGTGGAACTCTAGAGGATAAATGGAGCTGCTTTGACTGCCGTGGTTGAGAAAATTGACAATTGAATATGCGCTTCATATACCAAGAGGTTATGATTTAAATTGACCTGAAAGCATGCAGCCTTAGATTTTTGACTAATCCATTTATGCTATATTCTGTGCTGTGTTCATTCTAGGAGTCGCACCACACTGTTTTAGGTGAGAAATTTAAAACACGGTATACCACAAAACCTCATAAGGCAGCATGCAACTACGGGGATTTTGAGAAAAAATCCAAGGTGCATTGCATCAGTTGCGGTCACGACTGGGGAATCATTGTGAAGTACAAGACCTTTGAGGACATGCCCATCATTAAAATTGAGAGCTTTTCTGTGCAGGATGTTGTTAGCAGCAAACAGTTTCATTTCCGAAAATGGAAGGATGTTGATTTTGCAATGAAAGACTTTGATTTTGAAGAGCTATCTTACTGAAGTACGGTCTATTCAAACTTTATAATCTTGCATGACCTAGTTAATTCTATTTTAAAGTCAAATTGGTAACTGAGGTCCTATTGACTTTCCACTTACTCCAGTGTAAAAATTCAAACTCCAAGTAGCTGTGACATCTGATTCTTAGTACGCTTCCAATAATCAGCGCTTCTTCAAAAAAGCTGATCTGTTTCCACTGCTGTCTTTTGTTTACGCAATCTAATAATAAATGTACATATTTGAAACTTTAAAGGGTCCTTGGTTGCTTGTGGAGGCTGTTGGGAGTAAGGGGTTGTTTTTAAATTATAGCTGTACTTGGCTATTTAAAAAGTTAGGGACATATAGCGGAGGATATTCTAAGAAGTTTGAGGTTGAACTAGAACCATCATTAATAGTAATGGTTAAAGCCAAGTTTTCATTCTTCAGATTTAAGATTAAAGATATTATATAAATTCGTTTATATTTCTATTGTATTATAACCACTGTTAGGATCCATTGCTGTTGCAACCTTTTATTGCTTGGAACCCCAAAGCATGTTCCTTTCTGCTAAAGCAAAGGAGAATTTATTTAATCTTGGACTTCTGTTTCAGAATTCACATGCGACCGAATGCAAACAAAAGTAAAATCCACAAAAGATTCTACTGGTTTTTGAAAACAGGCTTGTTACAAATAGCTTTAATCCTGCAGTCCCATGAATGAAGGCGTCATAAGAATGAAGTGCACATATGCCAAATAATAAAGAGCCGAGTCATTTAATCGTTTTAGCAGTATTAAAATTTTAAGGAGGGATTTTGATAAGCGCTTTTAATGCAATAGTGCTGGGTTAGTAACTTCTGAGGCAGGCAGGCAGGAAAAGGAACTGGTACTGTTAATGGCTGTATAAAATGTTGAAAAGAATCTAGCCTCCACATAACGTAGGTGAGAAAAGTTTTTTGTTCCATCTACGAGTACAAAATAAATGGATGAAAAACAGTACTGTAGAAAGGAGTAGTTCAAAAATACACATAAATCAGACTAGCGGCCAAAGGGTTGACAGTGTAAAAAAAAAAACCTTTACAAGCCTTTCCCTTCAATTCTGCTGAAATCACATCCCCCAGGAGCACCAGCCAGCCCAGAAAGTGGACATTGTAGTTCTAATAAGCTGGGGAAAACTGCACATAATTCCCTTGTTACTGTATTTTTTTTCCATAATTACAGCATTTATAATTCTGATCGTTTGTCCTTTGAAAAAGTGGGGTTTCTGGATATGAGCAGTGCTTCATTTGGGGGTTAAGATGCCATTTTGCGAATCATATAGTTCAAGATGCCGCCATTACGAAAATAGGTGAGCTCCACGTCTGTGTCAAACCTCATGATGGCTTGAAAAGTTTTTCCTGTGTCCAACTGTGGAGAGAACATAGAGAACAAGGAGGATTAAGGAAAAGTACAATGGTTTTCAGTTCAAACAGGGACTTTTAAATAGAAATTATGCCAAAGCTCCAAGGAAATAGGATCTCCTTGGAAATAACATTACGTCACCACACATTATTTTGGTGTGTCCCGTTGCAAGAAAGCTCTCCTAACGTCTTAAATGAGCAATCTGGGGGATGGGGGACATGAAAACCATGTTCAAATGTGCACACACAATATTTCAACAACTGTCAAGGGCTCACATTACTTATTCCTGCAACACCCATTGTTAGAACACTCATCTTACATGCAGACCATCCCATTCAACACAGTGCTAAAAAGTTGTTTTTCACTGAATTTAAACCTCTTTGTTTATTCTGGAAGTCTGAACAGGGCTTCAGCAGCATCAGAGAATAGGCTTCTTGGTGGCAGCCTTTTAAATATTGGAATACTGCTATCATATCTCCCCTTTTCACTAGACTAGACATACCCAATTCCTGCAACTGTTCTTCATATGTTTTAGCCTCCGATCCTCTAATCATCTTTGTTGCTCTTCTCTGCACTCTTTGAATTTAATCCAACTTGCTTCAATAGAAACAATAGCTTCCATGCACGGGAATCTTGATTTCTCACATTTTAACAATAACAATAGCAATAGCACTTAATAAGTCTTAAGACTGTAAACTGCTTAGAGCCCTCTCTAAGCAATTTACTGAGTCAGCATATTGCTACCAACGATCTAGCTCCTCATTTTACTGATTTTGGAAGGATGGAAGGCTGAGTCAAGCTTGAGCAGGTCAGGATTGAATTTGTGGCAGTGAGCAGTGAGTTAGCCTGCAATACTGCCCTTCTAACCACTGTGCCACCATGGCTCTTTTATAAAAGCTGCAAAGCAACAAGCCAAGTTTCCCTCAAAAGGGCAAATAGGACTTTGTAAGGAAATGTGACTTAAAACTCTTAGATTATTTCGACACCCAAAGACTTCTAATATTTTCAAGCCATCACTCCTTGAAATCTTGCAAGAGCACCAAACCGTAAAAAGATTTGAATGATTCAAAGTCAACTCAAGGTCTTGTTCAGACTCCAAATTTTGTTCCTTAAATCCGACACACCAGCCCCCTCACATAACTGCACATCCTTCATGTGTGCAAACACAGAGACACACACCAACACACTGAGCGTTGCGAGATTAAAATAATGCAAGCCCTGGAAACGCTTACTTTGATCTGGATATTCATTCCAGGCATCAGGTGGTCCTCCGGAATAAGGATTGTGTAGCGTTCCCGCCCTGTCAATCCTAGAGACTCTGCATCCTGGCCGGGGAGATACTGTAGCGGGATGACTCCCATGCCCACCAGATTGCTGCGGTGAATCCTCTCATAGCTTTCTGCAAGAACTGCTTTGATACCCTGAGGGAACACACAAGGGCATTAATAGTCCAATTAAAAAAAAAAAAAGTTGTAGAAAAGAAGTGGCTAATTATTTGCCGGGCAACTATGCAGACAAAAGGCTTCACGCCCGTTCTTAACACCTCTAGGTAAAGTTAAAGGTAAAGGTTCCCCTTGCACATACGTGCTAGTTGTTTCTGACTCTAGGTGGCGGTGCTCATCTCCATTACAAAGCCTAAGTGCCAGCGCTGTCTGAAGACGTCTCCAGGATGTGCAGACATGATATTCTTCTGATTAAAATCGGAATTCTGATTTTTTTGGGAATCGCCCCCCTCTTTCCCCCCCCTTCTTCTCCTCCTTCCCCTTCCCTTGGAGGCCCCGAGTCAGGAGTTGCTACCGCTGGCGCGGCTCTGCGTGGCTCCAGTCCCGTGTTGCCTCAGGAAGGGAAAGGCAAAAAGGAAGAGCCGCGGCGGCGCTTTGCAACGGCAGCAGCGGCTCCTGGTTTTGCTTTTCCCTTCCCGAGGCAACGCGGGACTGGAGCCGCGCCGGCGGTAGCAACTCCTGACAGCCCCAGCCGGATACCTGAGCGGAGCCCGGGCGGGCGGGCGGTGCGAGTGGAGCCCGGGCGGGCGGGCGGGCGGTGCGAGCGGAGGCTGCTGAGCGGCAGGAAAAGGGAGCTGGGCAGCGATTTCTTGGCGCCCGGTGGGGGGGTCTCTTTTGGCCGGCCCCGATGTGGTCGGCATGACTAGGGCGCATGGAACGCTGTTACCTTCCCACCAAAGTGGTCCCTATTTTTCTACTTGCATTTTTACATGCTTTTGAACTGCTAGGTTGGCAGAAGCTGGGACAAGTATCTCTTCCCACTTATGACTATAACCGGAATGCTTGTATCTTTACAATTTATATTGTTTTATTTGTTTCCTAGTATGATTTGATTGCTTATTAGTAACCTATGACTATCACTAAAGTATTGTACCTTATGATTCTTGATGAATGTATTTTTTCCCCTTTATGTACACTCAGAGCATACGTACCAAGGACAAATTCCTTGTGTGTCCAATACATTCATCAAGAATCATAAGATACAACACTTCAGCGATAGTCATAGGTTACTAAATAAGCAATCAAATCATACTAGGAAACAAATAAAACAATATAAATTGTAAAGATACAAGCAACGTGGTTATAGTCATAAGTGGGAAGAGACAGGTAATAGGAAGGATGTGAAGAATAATAGTAATACAGACTTCCTAAATAGTTTGACTGTTGTGGGAATTAGTTGTTTAGCAGGGGATGTTGATTAGTTTTGAAAAAAAGATAATGAGGGGGAAGTATTTGACAGCATTTTAAACTGTTTACAGTTGTGAAAAGAAAGTTGAGAACTGTTTTCTATGGCCCCATAGAATTACAGGTGGTTCTCGGCTTATGATCATAACTGAACCCCCAATTTTTTGTTGCTAAAGCGAGATAGGTTCGTTAAGAGAATTTTGCCCCATTTTATGACTTTTCTTGCCACAGTTGTTACGTGAATCACTGAGGTTTTTAACTTAGCAGCACGGTTGTTAAGTGAATCTGACTTCCCCGCTGACTTTGGTTGTCAGGTCACAAAAGGCGATCCCTTGACCCCAGGCGACTGCGACCGTTTATAAATATTGAGTCCGTTGCCAAGCGTCTGCGTGCAAAAATGATCCTAAGTCATGTTTTTCAGTGTAATTTCGGGCACTAAATGAACTGTTGTAAGTTGAGGACTACCAGGTAAAATAAACGTCAACGTACAAGGCTATATCTGAAAAAAAATTCCTAGCAGAAACAGGTGTTTCACCCGGAGAATGAATAGAGAACCAAAAACGGAAAGCAGGAGACGGACTCCATTGGTTCATCCAAACCTATGATGCTATGAAGCTTCCTCTTACTAAAATAGGCTACTCACCAGCAGGAAAGGCCCCTTGGCAGCCCAGTCCCGGGAGCTTCCTGAGCCATATTCCTTACCGGCCAATATGATAAGTGGGTGGTTGGCTTGCTGGTATCTCTCAGAAGCATCAAATACGTCCAGCTAGAGACACAGAATGCAATGGAAGCTCAATTAGTGAAGCAATGTCTCCTGTCAGAGATTCCTTCCTTCTATCCCTGTGGTAGATATTAACTCATTAACTATTGTAGTGTAACACCTTTTACACTTAAGACGCGACAATAAAAAATAATGAACTATGAAAGCACAATTGGCCTTTCCCTCATTCATTTGACTCATGAAATTAATGATCCCTGTATCTCTACAATTCATGCTGTAGAGATAAAAGTGGCATTCCCCCTTTTCTGTCTTACACATTACTCATGAAGGGTCCTTGGCGCTCTCTGAGCTTGGCTGTTTTCTTGAAGACATTTCCTTACCCAAACTAGGTAACATCATCAGTGCTAGTAGGGAATGGGGTTTTCTCTCACTTTATATTCTAGTCCCTTGCCCTGTCTAATGTTGGT